TCGACCGCAGGGCGTTTCGCTACCGACGCTTACCGCCTTCGTCCTCCCATTAATCTCTTCATTTATCGTCTAGATACCGAAGGCAGAGGGGCACACCACGATAAGGCGTTCCCGCATGTACTACTTTGGCCACTCAAGAAACCATGAGCAGCGTTCTTACGATTTAAACATCATGTCATAGGCGAGATCAGGTGCAAGAACCAGTCCGTAGCCTTTCACCGTCATCCAAACCCAGTGCAGTCCCTCCGAGACAACCCCTAAAAAACACCCGTCCAGTGGCTCCGTAGGAGCTCTTCCTTCAGCAGGGAAACTTCAGGGGAAACGGCGGTAGGATCTTACTCCGTCGGCAGGCTCGTGACCTACTGCGTGCACGTGGCTAGATGGGGGCATTTTGAAGAAATGCCATCCAGAGGGCATGGGCAAGCTGACCGATCGCTTGGACGAGTTTAGCGACCTCCCGGGTCATAGGTATGTCACATGTCTGTTGCAGTCTGCAACCCAGAATAGAAACAGGACTTCTCTGGCTTTGCTTCATACGACGAGGGCAGTGCTTCAGATAAAAGAATTGTTCTCCCGTTGCTACACCGAAAAGCGATGATGCTTGAGTTATTGAAAAGCCAGCACGCAGTTCATGAAAAATATGTGTATCTCTTTGCATCCATCGTTCAAAGCTACAAACAATCTCTTAATGGGACAGTATACCTTTGAGTACAGATTCTCTCGTTTCAGACTGGATGTGGACCAAATACCAACTTCTATCACTCTCGACGAGTTTAGTACTTGAGGGGTGTCATTGTTGTGTTCTTTACCACCTCTATTTTGGGGTCCAATTTTGGCTTCGTCGTAATAACTCTACAACCTTCTCTGTCTCAGAGGCTGAGTTCTCAGAACAGACGAACTCGTGAATGCATTTTCGCTTCCTATGGTCTTGAAACAGCAAGAAGTGTGGGTCTAACAGCGATCAACGTCAAGAAGAATTTGTTGCGTATGAAAGAGTTTGCTCTAGACAGTACATCTGTAACAGAACTGCGATAGACATTCGTTGTTGTCAGAGAACCAGAGATTTTGTTCAAGTGGATAGACTAACATATATGATGGTTGAGGCTGTTGTTGTTTGTCTAACAGCACAGCTGCCCTTTGCCCCTGAGTTCTTTCATTACATGTGTGCACAAGCTGGCGGCGGTGGCGTAACTTACGTCATTTCGCAGATGGTGCATCTCTCAAAAAGTAGTTATATGCTGCAAATATCTTGGATGCAAATTGTAACCACATATTTTAGAAGGAAAAGAATCCAGAGGAGGCGGAACTTTCATGCAAACGGCTTGTTTTCATTTTCCACCAATGAAACACGATAGCCGTATCGAATGAACTCCAATCACCGGAAAGCACTTGGAACTTCCATGTTGGAAGCGGCCCACTTTTTGTGTGATTTCTCTACCGAGCAGGCATGCCTTTGTTCTCGGCTTTACTAAGGTATATCGCTTCGAGATCCGTCTGCCCTTGGCTTGCACTCTTGGGAACCTTTTGAAATCGAACTCAACACTTCGAGAGTCCCTTTTCAGTTTTACAGACGTTTGCAAAGATGTCTCTGGAATCTACGAGCATTACTCACAGCATCATGGCATTCATGACGGCTACACCGCTGTTGATGACCCCAAGAAGGTCCGTGAGCACTTGTAATCGCACCGTGACACCAGCAGCAACTTCAACAAAACCCGAGCCTCCAAAGGACTTTTCCCCACCGAAGCCTCGCCGGTTCTATGTTCGTCCAGACAAGGCGGTTGACATTGCTCAAGGCAGTATCGGACAATTAATGCGAGCATATGCAGGCGTACTTGTTGAAGGATATCGTCTCAAGACTGAAGATGGAAAGCTCATCGAGTACTCAGCCACACTGCCAAAGTCAAAGCCCACAATACCCTTGCGGTTATTCGAATTTGAAGCCTGTCCGTTCTGCAGAAAAGTGCGTGAGGCCGTCACCATGCTTGATCTTGACGTGCTTGTGTTCCCATGCCCGAAGGGCGGCACTTCGTACCGAGAGTATGTGAAAGAGAAAGGAGGAAAGGCCCAGTTCCCCTACCTGGTGGACCCGAACACCGATTTCGCTGGATACGAGTCAAATGAGATAATCGAATACTTGTATCGGACTTATGGACCGACTGATGCTCGTGTGCCGTTCGTTTTCAGCAACGCGTATACATTCTCGGCAGCATTTGCCTCAAGGCTTCGAAGGGGACGCGGTCGCGATAGAGTGAAGAAAGTTGTACCCGCCAGTAAGCCCCTTGAGCTCTGGGGATATGAAGGGTCTCCTTTCGTTCGCTTGGCACGCGAAGCCCTCGCAGAGCATGAACTGCCGTATTACCTACATACAACCGCGCGAGGTTCTGTGAAACGGGCCGAGTTGAAAGAATTGGTTGGCCGATTCCAAGTACCATACCTTACGGACCCTAACACTGGTGTGTCCATGTTCGAAAGTGCGGAGATCTGCGAGTATATACGAGCAACATACGGTCCAGGCGCTTCTGGGGCTGTCCAACTGCCAGCGAAGGAGGACATATTCATGCCTGGGGATTCGTGGGACAAGGAACCTGCTGTAGAACAGGAACCTGTAAGTCAGGAACCGGAACCGTCCCTGAACCCTGAGATGGTAAAGGACGAAACATTAGAGAAATACTGCGAGGATAATCCAGAAAGTGACGAATGTCGCGTGTACGAGGATTAGAGACATATCAAAGTAGTCTTATCAGAAAAGAGTGAAGAGTCTGTTTACGTGGGACTTCGCTAAGTTACAGAATGCATTGTGCATTTCATCTGCACATGAATTATGAGTAAAGATTGCTTGCCACAGTGTCACCTGAGTTTCTGGCCAGGTTCGAGCTATGTTCACATTTGTTCCTCGAAGAAGATGACTGCGAGCAGTTAGGCAATGAGACGTGATGGTTTTGGGGAAAAAGTAGCGTTCGACAAGGATGACTAGAAATTGGGATTTGAGTCCTCCAGGCCATGCCTTGGGGGTAATTGATGCACAAGTCTACCGGTTCGACAGTAGTGAAGTTTGCAGGCTTCTGCGCATGTGCAAAGGCTCGTGAATCACTGAATGACTTTCCTCTTCCTCCATATCTGACTCGTCGTCTTCTTCGTCTTCGACATAACTGCTTTGTGGGTCCACTGCTTTTGTTGCGGCGCGCATGTGCATCCAAGTTTCGAGCATGACATACAACACCGCCCAGACGGAGGCGATGTACAGAAACCACTTATACGGGCACAAGGTCATGGTGTTTGTTTGAAGTTGGGGAGGTAAGACACGCTTGAGCACAGGGAAGCTTAGGCAATGACAACGGGAGAGCGGAAGATTGCTAAAGCTTCGCAGCTGTGGTAGGTAAGCTGGAACCACAGGTGTGGGCTACTCGTGCGTTCAGGGTGCGCTCTTGAAGGGGAGGCAGCACCCTTCGTAAAACTCTACAAAGTCGTGTGGGCGTAGGTGGCTGCGCTCGTGCGTTGTTGAAGATATCGGTGCATTGATGTACGACGATAGCGCGCTGTTTACGGCGCGTGAATAAAAAACGGGGGTGTTCTGTACAGCCATTTGTATTTTCGCCTAATGTGGCACTTGACAGAGCATTCATTTGGGACACGCGTAGAAACAACACATTCGGAATGTACAACAACGACAGATGCTGTACAGAACGGCATTCACGCATGAGTGGTGCAGGGCACCGATAGGTGAAGTTACGGCTGGTGCATTCAAGAATGCCGCAGTGCTCCGTGCTTGCGGATTCAAACTGAAGGTTGGGGTGCCTCTTGAGTCATAGATGCAAGGTACAGACGTGGCAAACATCAAAACATTGATGCCGACGCTGAGAAGAACAGTGAAAAGGCATACGAAGCATATCCAGTGCAGGTGTATCGGAATTGATGATCAGCTAATGCCATCTATCTCTTCAGGCCACGCGCTGCAGAAGTGGCTTGCCACCCTGCAAAAGTTTTACGTGTGCCGACATAGAAACCCTGAGAGAAGCGAAACCGGGGCACGCAATGGAGAGCTGAAGTGAAGAAATATGTCCCATGGTTTACGACATACCAACCAAGGGTAAGGGTTAGCACGAACTGTTTTGGTGTTCAATTAACTGTTTATGTAGTAAGTGGAAACGTGTGGACACCTTTATTAGTAATCGAAGTAGATACACCCTTGGTAACGCGTAAACGTTCATCACAAGTTATCTTCGTGTTCTGTGACAACGCTAATTATCAAGAGTGTCAAGAAGTATTCGCCAAAAGGGGTATTAATCCCCAATCTAGAGAACCAAAAGAGCCCAGAGTGCATATGATGTCGCAAGTATGAATGAACCATTTCTTTCTTTTTTGAAAATAGTCTAGCAACTGAGAAGGAACTTCGCCCGAACATATCGCGTTCTATTCTTGTCCGGCGATATAGGGATAACCTACACACTCATTTCACGACATGTATCGGAAACAGGCTAACATTTGCAACATTGTAATTGTTCGATCAAGTGCTTTTGGTGACAACAATGGATGGATAGTAGCAAATGCAGAATGGCTTCCTTCTTAGTATGGGCTCGCGGGAGCTCAACCGCGAAACTACAGTTTCCTCAACCACGGGCGGACATCACGTTTGTTCCAGCGTTATCTGAGAATCGCTTTATCTCAGTGCTTTCTTCGTATTCATAACTGTGATGGAGAAGATTGACTTTGCCCTGCACGAACAGAAAGGGCATTTCCTGCGGAGAGAAAAGTATCTTTAACCATACATGTTTTACCCTCATGGTGTAGTTGGACATCAAGGGCCCACAGAAAAGAAGAAGAAAGAGCAACTGCGGTGAAACAAAAAAAAGGGGCAATCAGCCCGACGAGATGCTGGTTGCTCGTTCCTGTGCAGATGCTGAACTTGCCAGGAAAGCCCAGTTCGAAGCCTGCAAAGACATTCAAAAATATTCAAAAACATTCCAAAACAGTCAAAAATATGCCATGCGCAAGCACTGCACCCCGGGCGGGGCTCGAACCCGCGGCCATTAGGTTAAAAGCCTAACGCTCTGAATCGCTGTAATGAACCAACTGAGCTACCGGGGCCGCCACAGCTGTCAGCAGCTGATGATGAATCAGTTTATATAGAGCAAGTTTGGCGTGAATGCTTGCATATGGGCCTTGGTATCACGGTTCGGTTCCTGAACACTCCGCCGTTAGCAAGGCTGAAGCGAAAAGCGGCAAGGGTAAAAAAGAGCCTCACCTAGATAGGAGCTTGCGAATGGACTGCCGACGAAGTGCACATCTCAGGAGATATACAAGGTTCAACACGCCGATACCAGCACGAAGTACATACAAGGCAAGCAGTACACACTGCATTCTGAGGGTGCATGCACTCGGCGAACCATGGCTCTAGCTAGGACACGTCTTTATACCATCTACAACTGGCCTGAGAAATGAGCTGAAAGCGACAGTACCGAATCAAAAAGCTCGCGTAATCGCTCCCAAGCATTTTGCTGTGCGCTTAACAGTCCCGCCAGTAGTTCCGTTCCTTGCTCGTCTTTCGAGAGCTCACTTCCGTGGGTGCGCAAAAATACGCCTAGATGCGCTTGAGTCAGTTCAAATCCGTTGGGGCTACCCAGTCGCTCTTTAAAATACTCTGCAGCATTCCGTAACGTCGTTTGTCCTTCCATGGTGCGGATCTCCATGTCCACTCCTGAGGCATCCATTTCATTCAATAGACCAGTTGCAGCCGCAAATTGTCTTTCATATAATAGTTTTCCAAGTGTACTATTCAACCAGTTCTCGTCGTCTTCCTTTTTCCCATGCAGTGATTTAATCTTGCCCTGGTTTTCGTTTTCCTCATCATCCCTAATGGATTTGTCTTTTCCTTGGTTTATATCAAACTCCATGTGAATTGATTTCTTTGTCGGGATGAAAAACGGAGCGGATTCTGCCTTTTTCGGGGGCTCGACTGGTTTGTTTCGATCTTTGATAGCATGCAAATTGCTCAACACTGTCCAAGTCGTTGTCGGCTTCGTACTCAAAGTGACTATGTCTTCCGACAGAGGCAGAATCTTCTCGATGCTGGGAGTGGGCTGTTTTTCGTTAACGGTAGCGTCTTCAACTTCAGAGTCTGTATCACTCTCACTTCCTGGCTGGGTATCCTCGTCGTCCATCATGGACGTACCTGACTTTCTGGATTCCTTCTTGTCTTGAACTTCATTCCTGACATGTCCAAACCTAGACATATCAACCCACAACTTGATACCCACACTGTTCACGTGTGTTGTCGCAATGAACTCTCCGCTAGGGGCCATCGTTACACTAGTCGGTGAGTTCTCACAAACCAGGGAGTTCATCAGTCGCCCACTCGGCAAATCCCACGTTTTCAGTGTGCTATCCATTGACGCTGAAAGGATACGTCTTCCATTGATGTCGAAGCATAAATCTACGACTGGACCTTGATGCCCATTGAAACGTCGTGCGAGTTTTCGTGTAACAGCATCATATATATATACACAGTTATCCGCACATGCTATCGCCAAAAGATCGGAAGTAGTGCTCCAAGAAAGCAAGATTATGTCTGACTCTGTTGTAATAGGATCTCCTTTTGCTTTCCTGGTATGCATAATCCAAAACTTAACCTTTTTGTCATCACTGCCACCAGACACTATCATATCGCCACAAGCATCCACAGATAAGCCAACAACGCTACAAAGATGTGCGCGACCCCATTCCTCTCTTCTTGTGTTTCTGGAGCCTGATAAAAGATCTTGGTTTGGTTCCTCCAGTGACGTGTCTTCAAATACACCTTGGTGCCGTCCACTTTGAAGATTGTAGGCATGTACGCGACCATCCTCAGCGCCAATGTACGCAAAGTTTCCACATGGAGACAGAGTGACACACGTTGCAGCGTTCTTTTTCCGGCCTGTATGGGGTTTTCGAACAGCCTTGGGTTTAACTTCCTTCGCACCTCTCTGAAAGGTTAACTCGTACTTCTGAGGACCGGAGAGGGGCCGCAAGACATGTTCGTGAGTGGCACCATTTTGCAAACGCCAGGTGTATGCACTTTCCAAACCTTCGTGTATAGTCACTATATTCGCAAAGTCTTCGTCCCTTTCTCTGGCATTTCTAGCTGCGAACATAGTTATCCTCGGCAGTTTCACATCAGGACTTCCCCTATGATCGCCGGCCTCTACTTTATTCTCAATTCGCCTTCGTTTTCTCGCTCTGGCCCCGAGCTTGCTGATGCCCTTTTGCGAGAACGAACGATTCCTCGCTTCTTGTACAGCAGAAACGAGCCGAAGCTCTCGATCAAGTCCAGCAGACACCATCATTAAGCCATCGTAACCGCAAAACCTAACCATAGTTGGGGGAAGATAATGACCTTCTCTCGAACGTAGAACCCTTGCCTGGCCGTTTGTATCGTCAAATATGTGTACCTTAATCGAGTTATCTGACTTTCCTGTAGTAATCAGCAACGGTTCACTGGGAAGGAAGTGAGCTAAACTTGATCCCCCTGGATGGACATACCGTGCTTCAGATCGAATGCACTTTTGATTCAGATCCCATATAAACATGTGTCCTGACGCGTCGCCTGTCATCATGCTTTCGTCCGAGTCAGTTCGAAACGCAATCGCATTTACAGAGTTAGACGACACAGTGACTGCATCGGTGTTTCCAAGATCCTCCTCGTCTGTTACGTGTCTATAAGTGACAATCGTCTCATCCATTCTGAAATTATGAAGATATATAGATCCATCATTTGTTCCCACAGCAACCACATCTACCGCTGGAGAAGGTTCCAAGACATTAATAACAGATCCGAACCCCGAAAACACATGAACCATTTTCTTCGACCTGATGTTCACAAGCATACATCGGCCATCTCTTGCCCCCAACAGTATTTTGTTCATGTACGTTTCAGGGTGACAGGCTGCGGTCACTTTAAAGTCTGATGGTATAAAGAAATCAGACAAGACCTTGCCATGAAGATCTGGTTCATCCTTGGCATTATCCGGGAGGCCATAGGAAATTACTCGACCATCTTCCGCTATCGAGACGAGCACGTTTCCAAAGATTACGAATGATGCAATTGGGGCGTCATGGTTGCGCCAGACAGTACTCGGACGTAGACGATGGTAAACGCCGATATTGCTTCCAATAGCCGCAAAGGAGAGCTCCTGATAAGCTGCCAGTCGATCAATTTTAAGCTCATCGCTTCCTTCCTGCCATGAAGATGGAATAGGTTTGGAAATGCCCTTTAAATGCAAATTAATGTCGTAGAGATGCAAAAAGCGAGCGTCTTCGACTGGTGTAGTTATGAAAGACGAAAGACCTTGGCGATGAACAACGGGAGCACAACCACGCAAAGCGCCGTCACAAACCATGCCAAGGGTTTGAAAAGGGGAGTACATTCCATGCGGCCGCATCTTGTTCTTCAGCCTATAGCTCTGTGGCAGTGGTGTTGTATATCTTCTGCTTGCAAGTTCGAGTTGTTAAAAAGCATTTACCATATGAGCCCCGCAGAGAGTGTAAAGAGTAGAATGGTATCCAGTACGGTAAAACAAAACTTAGGCAGCACAAAACCAGTTGCACACTTCTAACCTTCACGGAGATGGTGAGTCAAAGCATGGATGAGTTAACCTTTTTGCTTTCGCACTCCTGATGTGAGAATACTGACGTCGGTGTCCGGCATGCCAGAAGAGGACGGGATCAAACGTTTGCGGCGAGAGCCACAGTCGAAGCGTACATGGCGAACGTGACTCCTCGGTCACCGAACGTGAAGCGTGACGTAACGTGCCGCCGCCGCCGTCGGTGGAACGAGTCGTGATTGGCGCAGACATCACACGCGATACTAACACACGAATAGTGAGAAATGATTGGACATGGTTCAATCACATCTGAGGTAGACGCCAATAATTTTGCGCCAGGCGCTCGCACACAATTGGATACTGTAAGGGATCTATTTTAGCTCACTGAAGCTCAACATCTGCAATTAACAAACTCTTCAACAACTCCCCCGCCGGCGGTACCATCGCCACCCCTGCGCTTCCGTTGGTACTTTGCCATTGCTCATCTTTCACCAAGCCCCAGTCGGGACCTCTACAGCCTTCTATCGGCCTTTCTAAGAGTCGGGCACGCGCCGCTCTGTTCCATTATAGTGCTTGATTCATTCATTGCATGGATATGGATGCTGAGAAGGTCGCATTTTGGGGCATTGTCCTCAAGCCGGGGGATCCCGCTGATCTTGACTTGGACGATGGTGAGACTCTACGAGTAACCACCGCTTCCTACGGAGAGGAGTTGGGTGATAAGGCTGGAAGATCCGTTATTACCGCATCCGTACGCCCGGATGATGATGCGGAGCCCAAACGATTCGCAGTGGCTGTTCTCACCGCCGGCAAGACTGAAACCATAACTATGGATGTCGCCTTCGTCGGTGAAGAGAAAGTTACCTTCGAAGTGAGTGGCAAGAACGCAGTTCATCTCGTCGGTAACTTCAGCTTCGAGAATGACCTGGAAGAAGACGACTCTGATGAAGATGAAGAGGATAACCATCTGATAGGTCTCTACGACGACACCATGGAATCAGAAAGTGAAGATGAAGAAGACGAACAGGGAGCTGTAAAGCCCATTAAAGAAGATAAGCCAATTATCACAGAGCTACCAGACGAAGACGAGGATGATAACAAGGTCGAAGAGAAGGTGTCTACAGGAAAGAGGAAGAAGGGAAAGAAGGACAGAATCGCAAACGGAGGCTCAGACGCAGTCCCGACCAAGAAGGTCTCTGATGCTGCAGCAGAGCCAATATCAAAATCCAAGAAGGCAGTCCCTGGAAAGGAGGAAGATGGAAAGCCTGAAGCTACTGAAAAGGCTGGTTCGCACAAGAGTGGATCCAAAGGTCGACGTAGAAAGTCCGGACATAAGAAGGACCTGGTTGACGGCTCTGAACCGACTGCTGCGACTAAGGACACTGATGCGAAAGATCTTGAAAAGAAGAGTGATGAAAGCAACAAGACAGTAACTAGATCGGCGTTGAACAAGATCTTGGACTCGAAGAAGGCAGCGCCAAGCGACGATGTAGTTAAGGATGACGCGGA